ATTCCTCCGACTTCTCAGATTCCCCTGGAGCTATCAGCATGCATAGCTGGAATGCACTGTGTGCCCAGTGAGCGTATCACCAAGTGGTCTGCAGTGCTATGCGAGGAATCCGCTGCTACCGCTCCCTGACACAGAGAGGAGCAGAGGGCTTTGATACGAGGCCAATTTATTTGGAAGGAAAACATAAACACTTTGGGCCAAATCCTATCCCTCCCAGTTTGGAGCAGAACTCATTTGGAGGTCTGGGCTTTTGCAGCACCTGGTGAAACAGGGATAGAAGTGGAGCCTGGCAGCTCTGCGTGCCAACCTTGTGCCAGGGCTGGGGCTCATCTGACACGAGCAGCTTGTTTTTAGCAGGCATGGAGCGGTTTGTAGCTCTGCCCCTCTCCTCCCGTGAGAAAGGGTGGCATTCAGGAGCAGAGCTGTGGCAAATTACCACAAATATCAAACTTTGCTGCTGTAAGATTCACATACAAATGCATTACCCTGTTCTTCAGTGCACCTCCTGGAGAGCTGGACTGATTTCAGGGGGGAGAATGCAGGTCTGAGTTGTTTCTGTGTCTGGAGTGATGACTGTGCTGTACCTTACAGGTGGGAACAGCCAGCTGATAGAGTGGTAGCTGAGAGCCCAAGGCTTTGGCCTGTATTTCTGGGGACGGGGAAGGAATGATAAGAAATGGTGTAAATCACCAAGAACAGCTGTTTCTTGGACCATTGTGCTGGAGATGCTCATCTCTTTGCCCTGGATGTGAGGGAGGAGCAGTTAATTCTCATTTGTGGACCATTTTTTTTATTGACCTATTTGTGTGGCTGCGAAGTGAGTTGTTCCCCTCACAAACTCAGATGCTGTGTATTCAGAATAAGGTCACTTCTCTCAGAAGCTGCATGATTTCACAGTTGACCCCATGGTCTTTTCCATAGCATGACATTTAATTCTGATTTTCTCCTGTAGGATAATAAAGCAAAGACGCCCATTGGTGAGGATAGTTTATGTCTGTAATTGAATTTAATTCATAGAGATTAAGAAAGGGCAATTCTTTGGTAGCCTTTTAGGAAAGACAGAGTGCACTATCTCATCGAATCATCTGATTCTGTCATTCTCTGATACTCCTGCCATGCACCAGCTTGCATTTCGTCTTCCCAGTGCTCAACAAGAAGCACTGCTGGTCCATAGGAAACTTCTGAAGTCATCGAGACTAAGAGCCAACACAGCAAAGGGCATGGCAGAATCAAGAGAGAAAACGAGAGCCTGACCAGTGAGTGCTTGAAGCCTTCAGCCCAGTCCTGCTGCCCCCAGTGCAATAAGAAGAGCCTTTCTGACGTGGGCAGCGGGCGATTCCCCAGCAGGGAGCGTGGATTGTGAGCAGCCAGCAGCCAAGGGAAATGGAGAGGCTGTCGATGCACGAGTGCTAGGATTTCAGATATACTTCCAGGGATGCTTTCAGTCCAGCTCTGATCCCTATTTCTGTTACGTTTTTAAATGTCTATTTCCATTTCTGAGTGTTAAGACTTCCCAGCAACGCGTCCTTCTGGAGAGACCTTTAAGAATTCAGTAGGAGTAAAAGCAGTTGGTTGTTGCAGAAATTCTGTGGGGTTTGTTGCAATGACACTAAAATGCCACAAAGAAAGAGACTCTTCTGGTATTTTTTTCCAATAACTCCACTGTGGGAATGATGCTCCCTGCTAGGTGCATGGTGCTCTCCCACAGACCATGCGAAGTTAAGATTCAGAGCTGATGGAGACTGATCCCCACTCGTGCCGATGATGATTTGTTTTATTGCTGCTCCGAGACTCTCCTATTGTTGTGCACTTCTCCTTCTCGACCTTTCCAGAAGGCACATTTAGACAGAGGTATTCCTTTACCCCAGAACTGTTCTGCATGCAGTCAGGGTCGGGCTGGCAGTGGGCACGATGCGCTCCTCCCCTGCCCTGCCATTAAGTGAAGCTGTGCTCACATTGTATAATTCAAGGTATTTCTGTTGCTTTGGGGTTCCTCCACCACTGCAGTGACTGCTGCCGGGGCACTGGGCTGGGCAGCTGGCCTTCATGCTTCTATTCTAGCAAGGAAGATTGGAGTATTCTCTATAGCACCTTATTGGCCCTCTCCTAGACCTATGGAAGACCCAGTGTGCCAGCATTATCTAGAACATCACAGCACCTCAGCAGGTAACGGCACAGCCTTACGGCAGTGAGACTGGATGTGAGGCTGCAAGGATTTATGGAGCCCAGTGCACTGCTGTTAACCCAGGAGCTGACTCCTGCAGCTGGCTTCTCATAAGGGTTCATCTTCCTAAATCTGACTGAATGGGAAGGGTTTATACACAGATGGTGGCTTTACTGGGAGAATGAATCGGCTTCCGTAAGAGACGTGGTGGTGCATCTCTGTATGACCAGGCTCAGTTCCCACTTGTTCTCATCTGGACGTCGCTCTCTGGCTTTGCTCGCCCGTGTTCATCCCTCCCAGTTACATCTATCTCAGGGAAAGGTGCACTTCTGGTCCTTGAGGTACACACTGAGCCATGGAGATTTTAAAACTCGCTGCTGTGTAGATGCTGAATATCAAACAATCATGGTTTCCAGCCATTTAATCTCTTCTTTTATTCTGTGCTACCCAGGTTCTTGCAGTTCGGTGATGGGAAGGAAAAGCTCAGAGCCACCTGAAGATTCATTATTTCTTTTTGTCATGATTGGACCCAAGTTATGGAAAATATTCCAAGTTCAAGAACTCCTGCTCCAAATTAGGCCCACATGCAGTAAGGATTACCTTTCCAAAAAGTATTTTAAATATGTTTGAGCAGGTGAGAATAGCTTTAGGAGTATTAGTGTGTTGCCGACCTCCTTCCTTTAGAGGTGCTTCCATTTCTGCTACCAGTGCTGTTGCTTCACAGCTTGGAGAAGAAATGAGCTGGTCAGGAATGCAAGTGGGTGCTGGAGATCGATGGTTTCCTACACCCATAGCTGTGTTCATTTGTCTGCAGTGAATTTCCTGCTCTCAGGGCAGGGTTTTGAGATGGTAGCTGGGCTTTGCACGTCTCAGATCTGCTGCTTTGATCACAGAATCATAGCACTGATGCTCTCTCACTCTTACTGTTGGCTTCCTTGATAGCTGCAGACACTCCATTACCTGGCAAGCAAAGGCAAGAAGCCATTCTGAAACAAAAGTGAGGAGCAAAACCAGCATTAAAGAGAGAAAAGGCCCAGCTGCACTGCCTACATGTAGGGATGTGGTGTAGGTGCTTTTGTCCACATTCTGAGCAGAAATATGCCGAGGTTTCCAAACATCAGTGCAAACCAGAAAGATGCAGGATATAACCCTTTTAATATTGTCAGTTCTAATCAAAATAAAACCCGGCAGGCTAACAAATTAATCATTTTGCTGCTGTCGTGATGAGACGCTTTATCATTTGCTACTAATTGGATGCTAACTGATTGGCATATTAGCTATTTAAACAGTGCCTGCTGCCCCACCTATACTCAGGAAAAGCTCTTTTTCCCTCATAGGCTCCTGTGAACTAACACACATGGAAGGTCCTGGTAGTCATCTGCTTGCACAGATGTTGCTTTTGTAATGATTAACTGCAGCAGGATTGTGAAGGCTTGTGAGCAGCTTGGGTATGTAAGGAGCGCTCTGTTGTGCCATAGGAGCAGCTTTGGTTTGCTTTGTGGGATGTGGAATTTGCACGTGGCCGAGGGAAGGAGGTAAGTGCTGGTTGGTCATTACTGGGGCTGTCCTGACCCCCAAACACGGGTGGGCTCGGGCTGATGTTTTGGATGCCGCATCCCTGGAGGTGTCCAAGGCCGGCTTGGATGGGGCCCTGGGCAGCCTGGGCTGGTATTAAATGGGGAGGTGGGCGGCCCTGCATGTGGTGTGTATGGAGGGGTTGGAATTCCTAATCCTTGAGGTCCATTCCAACCCGGGCCATTCAGTGATTCTGTGGTGTTGGGGCTCTCCAGAAGGCATGATAGGTGTGCGATGGTTCCCAACACCTGCCCTGCAGCCATGGACCCATTTCTTTGTATTGCATGTGCAAGGAAGGATGGAGATGTGCTGCCCGATGCTTTCCTTTCCTTAAATGCCGGCCCGAGGAGCACAAGGACAGGGACAGGGAAATCACAGAGTGCAGCACAGGGCAGGAATCGGCCCCACGGGCACGCAGCTCGGTGGGCTGCAGGAAGGGGCTTCGTTTTCCACCTTGGCGAGAAAGCAGAGCTGTCAGCTGGGATATGAAAGAGCCGGGAGCGGCTGCGCCTTATTTTTCCCCTTCATCCGCTAAGGCAGAAGGGCGGGGTGGGACAAAGAAGATGGAGGGCGGTGCGTCCTCCGGCAGCGGAGCCGCGCTCGGTGCCCCCCGCCCCTCCGCAGCGCCGATCCGGAGCGCGGCGCCGCGCGGGCGTCTCCCGCCACCACCCCCCCCCTTTTGCGCCAATTCGCCCCGCGCCTCATTTGCATCCCGCCGCGCGCGCAGCCAATGGCGCGGCGCGCCGGCGGGAGCGAGCGAAAAGAGCGGCTCTCTGCGCATGCGCCGCGCGCTCCGCCGCTGGCGCGGTGTCGGCGCTCGGCCCCTCCCTGCGCGGGCGGGGCGGGGCGGGGCGGGGCGGCGCGGCGCTGCGCGCAGAGCGAAGAAAGGCAGCGCGGCGCTGGGTGCTGCTGTCTGCGCTGCGGAGAGCCGCGCTCGCCTCCCCGGCGCACCCCGCGCCCCTTCCCGTAGCATCGCAGTGATTTGGGCTCTGGCCGATCGTTGTTATTTTATTTTTTTTAGGTATTGTTTTCTCTGTTGGTTTTTCTTTTTCTTTTTTTTTTCTTTTTTTTTTTTTTTTTTCCCCATTGCTGCACGCGAGACAATAGGGATACAGCATCCGCCCCGCTGCTTTTTCTTTATTTAAAAAAATAATAATAATAGGTGGATAAACAGAGCGGAGGTGAGCTCGCACCATGTCTTACCAGGGGAAGAAGAACATCCCGCGGATCACGGTGAGTGGGGGGCGCGGGGAAGGGGGAGGGGTGCGCGGGGATTAAAGCCCTTTGTGTGCCGGCAGCCGGGGCTCGGGGCCGGGTAATGAGATCAGCGCCGTGCGCGGCCCTTCCTGCGCCGGGGGATGGACGGGGACACGCAGCCCCCAGCCCGGCGGATCCCTCCTTCCCTTCCCCAGAAGCTTCTCGCAACGCGATCCTGGGGGAGCGGGGCCGGCGCGGTTATGTAAAGCCCCTCCCTCGCTTCCCCCCCGTTGCGGGAGCCGATGTAGGGCAGGTATTGCGGCCCCAACTTTTCCTTACGTAAGGTGGGTGCTCCCCTCATCGCAGCGCTGCGGACATCGGCCGTTCCGTCGGTTCCCCCCCCGCGGACACACCCAGCGCCGTCGCCTTCCGAGCCGTGACAGCAGCGCTGCCCTCGCCTCCCGTCGAGGTGTTTTTAGGGACAGATACGAGCTTTCCGACCCGCACGGCAGGATGCCCGCAGGGACATAACGGTGTGGCGATGGTTCCCTTGGGCCGGGAGCCGCCTGACGCATTTTTGTGATGACGGAAAGCTCAGATTTCCGTGCTGGGTGCGCCGTGCAGGGCAGCAGCCCAGCCCCGTTCCCATCGTTTTGCTGCAGACCGCATCCATGCGTGCAGGTGCTGCGTTCTGCTTTTGTCTCGGCCGAAATGAGCAGAAGGATCCGTGCTCTTTTCAGAGCCTTCCCGAGCCCCAGTTAGCAGCAGAGCATCCTCCAAGCGAGCGGTCTGTGATGTGCTTTGGGCCCTCGCTGCTGCCATATGTTGGGCTTTCTGCTGCCCGTGACACGGATGGCCAAAGCTCGACCCATCCCCGTAGCTGCAGCCTTCGTAGCAGCACGGGGAGCCGGCATTGGAGGTGGGCACCGACGCTGCGATGCTTCTGGGAATGGAGAGCATGCAGGGCAGTGCTCTGCTGCCTGGCACTGGGGGGAGGGCGGCTTTTCACGCCCTGAGTTCATTTGTTTGGCCCTGTTGGTGTTTGTAGCTGCTCCTGTGCTTAAATCTCAGCTTTTCCTTTGGTTTTGGTGTGTTGGTTTTCATAAGCAGGCGCTGTTGGGGGAAGCTCTCAATTGCAGCAAGAGGAGAAAAAGGGAGGGGGAAGGAGAAGCATTTAATGTCTTCTGGAGTTGCTGCATAAAGGATGGGTCTAAGGGTGTCAGTTAGGAGCTGGTGCAGTTTTAGCACTCAGACCGCTGAAAATGTGGCTCTCCTGCTATGAGCTCCCTGGGAGAATGCTCGATTCCTTTCTTCTGTCAGACCTAATTCAAAATAAGGGCTCTGAGCTGTGCTGTCATGCATCCATTTGCTTAAGTTTGAGGCAGCTCTGAGTTCCTGTTCTGCTTTCTGCCCTTTCTCGCAGTCACTTTTGGCATCACCACGCTGTGCTGTAGCTTTGTCATGTGGTGGACAGGGGCAGAGTGCTGCACTGGGGCCAAGTGCAGATCGAATGCAGTGCTGCATCTCTGTATGCACTGCGATTGAAGCATAGGTCATAGCAGGCATGGAGGAGCCAGCAGAACAGAAGTCACTTCCAGCTTGTGTCCCCAAGCACAGCTCTGCAGTGCCTGGGCGGTGTATCAAACACAGTGCCCAGCAGCTGCCTTGTCACAGCTACCTTTCTGTTCCTGCCAAGCTGCCTCCCAGTCTGCGGGTGTTTTAATGAGGCTGTGCTTAAAGCCCTTCTTTGCAGCTTGCTTTGCTCATCTGGGCTTGTTTTCCACCCGATCATGCGCTAGTGATCTGGACAGGCAGTAAAAGCATCCGCTGCGCCCAAACGTCCCCGAGTTGGACAAACGGGGTTTGTTTGTGTGGTGTAACCCCTGGCAACAGACTTGTGGGCCATTTCCCTGACAGCCGTTGACTCACAGTTGGCTGAGTGGTGGCTGCAGCCTGTGGGTGCACACGGGAAACTTTGCATGCGACCGAGGCATTGGAAACAGCAGCACGGTGGCCATTACGCATCCCCGGAGAGCACTGTGCACTGCTTTGGCTGCAGGTGATGGTGGTGCTGCAGGGCTGAGTGAAGCCCTGCCAAGCCTCAATCCAACGCCTTTTTCCCTTCTGATTCCTTGGAATCGTTTGCACGATGAAAGGACTTGCACTGAAACAAAGCATTTTTATCTCTGCAGTTGAAAGCGCGGCGATGGATGGAGCTGCGTTCTGACTCCTGAATAATGCAGGGCTTCTTTCCAGCCTTCCTCTTTCATCTCAGGGGTGACACTGCAGACTGTCAGTGTAATTAGGAATTGCTGTGTGCTTCTTTGTTGCAGAGTGATCGTCTTCTGATCAAAGGTGGGAAGATTGTCAATGATGACCAGTCTTTCTATGCAGACATCTACATGGAAGATGGGCTCATCAAGTAAGTGAACGTGATGGCATGCTGTGATTGGAGTGTGGGGAAAGGCAGTGCTTGGGCCCTCAGTGCGTTGGGTTGGGTTGCCAAGAGAAGTGAGTATTTCACACACACGCACACTGATCAATGCAGGAACCTTAAAAACACAACCAAACTGATGTGGCATTTGAGCGTGGTTTGAAGGAGGTGCTTTAGATGTGCTTAATTTTAGCCATGTGAACAGCCCCATGCTGAGATGGCACATATGTTTGGAGTTATCTGTGTTGTACAGTGAGCTGAGTTATGACTGAAGGCATTTTGAATGCAGGATTCAGTACCCGGATGCCTTTAATTCTGTTTTAGGGCAGGAAATTGGACTGAGGTGACCTCTCGGGGTCTCTTGCAGTGCTGTTTTCTGCAATTCAGTGATGCAGGGATCAGTCTGAAATCCCTTTGAGTTAATAAGGATGCTGTTGTTGTGTGGACATACCTCTTCGCAGCACACTTCTGTGTTTGCATTCCCAAAACGTGCATTTCTGGCACGTTAAATAGATCAGAGGTTTCTTAGGAAAATTGCACTTAGGAAAAAAGCAGCCGAGCCAGAGGTTACAAACAAGGAGTTTTCCTGTTCTGGCTCTCACAGGCAGCACATGTGCTTTGGTCATCAAGGTTAGAAGATAGAGGAGCCAGCCACAATAGCTCATTAATTGCCCCATGTCACCCACCATTGCGTTTTTCACAACCAGTGGGTGAGAGGAGCTCCCACCAGCACTGTGTTTCCTTCCTGTTTGTGCAGGAGCTACATAATATTTACGCATGGAAGGAAAGTACAGAGGCCAAAGTTCTGTCTGTGCTTCCAAACCTGTGTTAACATCCATCTTGCTGCTGGATAGCCAGCACTGGGTGTTGTGTTGCCACTTGGTGACCTGCTCCTGTCCTAGCAGAGCTGCTTGCTTGCTATGCTTGGTCCCTTCTCCAGCTGGCTGCCGGCGTGGCTCCGGCTTTTCCTTCCTCTTAAACCTAATGTTCCCCCCAGGTCCTGATGTAATTGCGTGCTTTGCTCTCAGTTATGCAGCTGCTTCAAGGGGAAGAATAAAACTGTATCAGCTGGGTCTGCCAGCCCTGTGCTTTGCTTTATATGGAAAAGGAAAACAGTGGCCGGGTTAAGCAGCAGGGTGTGTGTTTGCAGAGCGTGTGCCTCGTCTGCTGTCTGTCTGACCTGTTTGCAACCTGTGTACCAGGCAAATAGGAGAGAATCTCATCGTGCCTGGAGGAGTGAAAACCATCGAAGCCCATGGCAGGATGGTGATTCCTGGAGGGATTGATGTTCACACCCGCTTCCAGATGCCGGAGCAGGGGATGACTTCTGCTGATGACTTCTTCCAAGGGACCAAGGCTGCGCTGGCTGGGGGCACCACCATGATCAGTAAGCTGGCTGCTTCTCTATTGCAGGAGAGCTCTACCTTTCTCTGGTGGTAACTGGAGAGCCTGCAGAGAGGCTGTGAGGGGTGTACCAGCAGCAGGGGGTTTCCCATGGCTGGTCAGGTTGCTGAGCAAAGCTCGTGTAGGGGCAGGGAGTGGGGATGAAGCACTGCAGTCTCCAATCTGCAGCTGTCAGCCACTTCCCTCCCACTGTCCGTGCTGGCAGTTTGACTTTGGTACTTTGTGACTTTGCTGCTTTCCCTGTAGGTCTGCTCCTACTGAAACCAGTGTGACTTTGAGCTCTGGCTCCAGTGTGAGCAGCACCTCGGACGCCCCGTGCCACTTCCCTTTCTCAGTGATGTCCAAGGCTTGTGCTCGCTCACCTGTACAGCTCAGCCTTTCTGGAACAGCAGTTGCTGCTTTTACAGCGAGAGAAAGGACAGCTGCATCATGCAGGGCTGTCAGGGGAAGGGTTGGTGTCTGTAGTGCAGTTCCTGCTGCGTGCCAATGTGTCTTTAAAAACTGGGCCACTTATTTGGGCATTTGCACAGTCCCAATCTAACATACAGTTCTGGCACCGGGGTTTTCAAATCATCAATTAAGTGCTGTTCCTTTTGTGCTCGTATTCTCTTTTGGAGGAAGACAGAAATCAGGAAATGAAAACATCTCAAAATAAAGACAGACAGATGGACTGGGCGTCCTGCAGGGTCAGACACCCTTCGTGTTCCTCTCTGGCTCTCCAGTGTCTCCTAGGTGACTTTCTGACCCCACTGACACTGGCTGCAGAAGTTTGGTGTTGCCTTTGTTTGGGCTGCAGGTTTGGAAAAAGAGAATATAAAATAAAACACTGCAGTGCAATTGGTCACGTGTAAACCAGGGCATCCTGCAGCGTGTTGCTGCACGTGGCAATGAGGGACAAAGGTGTAAAGCAGCCCAGTGTCTGAACACTGCATTGTTTTTCATGTACTCTGAGGTGTTGCCATTCCACAGGAGGGGAGCTGAGATGCAGAGAAACGAAAGAATACAAATGAGAAGTTCTCTTGGCTTTTGTCCCATTCAGGTGTATATAAAGGGATGTGAGGCACAGCCAGGAGCTGCCCTCGCTCTCCTTGGTTCAAACCCAGCTCCATATGATTGAGAACATCCTCAGCTCTTAGAGAAGAGCTCTCTGATCCCTGTCCCAGTTTGGGGGGACTGGGATTGACTGACACTGGGAGTAGGAGCCACTGGTGCCGATGCAGCCAGGCTCTATTTTGGAAACAGAGCTTGTTCTGGGCCTGGCCCACACCGAGTGGTGTGTGAACATGGTCAGGAAATAACCTGGGAAGTGATTTTTCATCATGTTACCAATTCAGGGCATGAAGTTTGAGTGTGGAGGTAACCTCACGCGTTCAGGGGATGTACACTGGGAATGCAGCCGTGGATGTTCTCAATTTTATGCACTAATGTCCATTTCCCCTCTAAATCTTTGCTGTCAATCTAAGTTAATACGGCTTAAATGGGATTTGCTTTCCAGCTTCAGTTCATTGACTTTGTTTAATTGGGTGTCTGTGTTTTTAGCACACCTGGTTCACGTTGTCCACTTGAGTCATCACTTTGTTCTTCCTTGTTAAGCTGAATTAGATCAAAATAACTTTCCCTGTCATTTGCGTCTGGGCTCTGAGAGCATTTTTTCCCTCAATGGAAGGAACCATTGTAAGCAGAGAGTCAAGTTTTCTAAAGCAGCCCTTTACTTTAGAGGGATCAGCTGGGTCCCAGTTGTACTTCAGAAGTGCTTAAGCCTCTCTGTTTGCACACACGCTGGTTGGCTTTACGACTGCAGTACCTAAATGTCTGTGTAATGGTATTCATAACGTGACTCTGAGTTGGGGAAACTGGAGGAAAATCCCCATTTAGAGCTTCCCCCATGCTTCCCAATCTCATCTGTTTTTCTCACCTGGTTTGCCTGGGTTGGCTGTGCTGTCTCTGTCAGCTCGTATCACAGGAATGTTGTCCCTTTAATTCTCATGTGGGCTGCATCCGAGGGAAGCACGCAGGAATTCCAGAATGTAATCTATTGTTTCCAAGCCCTGTTCCTATTTACTTCCCTTCCCCTTCGCAGTAATCTCATTGCTGCAGCATCCATGATGGGAATGTCAGGTTATTGATGGGTATTAAACAGAGCAGCCCCATTTTCTGCCCGGCCCTTCTCTTCCTGAGCCCTTTCCTCTCACAAATTGGGGCCGATTTCTGAGCAGAAATTCCTGCTGTGATCCTTCTGTCAGCCCCCCTCCCAGTGCCAAAGGCACATGGTGAGGCTCCAGCTGGCCTGGCTGGCATGCAAAGAAGCAAAACTGGGTTTGCTGTGCGGGGCTGAAGAGAGGCACCGTGATGCAATTATTCTTCTGACAGCGTGATTTGCTGCACTCCTTTCTCCATCCCTGCCTTAAAACAGCATTGCTGCAGGTTGTGTCAGCAGAGGGCGAACAGCACTGCATGTCTCAGGAGATCATTGCTTTGGGAAGACTTGGATTCTGGCCCATTTCTAACGTTGGAATGAAGTGGTTGAGGGGAGAAGGATTCCAGGATGATCCGCAGCTGACTTTGGAAGAGGAGGGTGTATGGGGCTGTCCAGCTTCCCTGAGCTCCCCCTATTTCTGTATTCAGTAGGACAGGGGAGAGAGGCATTAAGTTGTGCCAGGTTGGGTATTAGGGACCGTTTGTTCTCTGAAGGAGCAGTGATGCAGTGGCACAGCTGTCTGGGGGTCCTGGGGTCATCATCCATGGAGATGTGGCACTGGAGGTCAGTGGGCGCTGTGGGGTGAGCTTGGTGATCTCAGAGGTCCTTTCAGCCATAATGATTCCATGTTCTGTGGAAAGAGAATGATCCTCTGGAGTTTGGGAAAAGGGCTCAGCCCGAAGTTGTCCTTTACAAGTGTTTTTCTCACCTGTGTAGCCTGTGGAGTTTATGCTGAGCTAAGGATGGCATTTGTGAGCACCCTTTGTCTCAGCCTGAGAGGGGCTGATGCCCTCAGGAACTCCCTGGAGCTACTGGAGAAGTTAAGAGCAGGGTGGTCTCTTAAAGCCCTGTGATCGTTTGGTTGCTTATTAGTTGTGATGGGTGAAATCCCCTTCGACATCCACGGTCTGACTCCCCCTGACTTCAGCAGAGGCAGGATTTCCCCTCCCTGCTTCTCACCCTGCAGAAAGGACAGAGCTAAGCTGTGTATATTTATTGGCTCCCTGATCCTCTGGCCTGTGGAATGTCCATCCAGGGCAGCTCCCACACACGTTTCATCCCCCCCAGCACTGCTTCTTCCTGGGTATCTGCAGTCCTGGAGTCCAACTGCTTGCTGACATTGCCTGTGTTGACTCAGTCGACCGCTGTTATAATCATAGGGAGAAATTACAGTGAGGAGAAATTATAGCTCTGTTTGGCTTGGTGACTTGGGAGCCAGCTGCCTTTTGAACTTGACTAGCAGTTATCCTAATAACATGGAGAATGTACACTTGGGATATGAGCTTTGTATCTGGGAGGTTCAGAACACGAAGGGGAACTTTGAATGGAATGCACTCTGCTTCTTAATGCCTTACCCTGCTGTTAAAGGGAGGGCTGCAGCAGGATGGCAGGGCTCTTCAGGAGAGTGCTGGCTGCTGGGCTCCACTCAGCAGTGCAGCAAGGTGACTTCACAGCTGCTGGCTCATCCTGAGGGATCCCCATCTCAAAGTTCATCTGCTTAGCAGGGTGATCCCACCCTGGTATGGTGCCTCACCTCTCAGTTTTCGGGCTTCAGAAATGCAGGTGTAATAGGGAGGTTGGAGAAGGGCTTAAAGAAGGGCCAGGCAGCATTCTGGGGCAATGGCAGGCTGGCACAGTGTGATGTTTGATTCACCCATGGAGATCACCTACAGTCCTGCTGGTTGCTGGGTTGCTGTGAGGATTGGTCCTGTCCTGGTAGAGAGGAAGAGTCTGGATGGTGGGCAAAGGAAAAGGATGGAAACAGAGGGAGGGAGGTGACCCAGCAGTCATGCACAGAGCATAAGCCAAGCAATTGAGCCCAAGGGCAGTGGCCACAGAGCTGCAGCACCTCACCTGATCATAGAATGGTTTGGGTTGGAAGAGACCCTTAGTCCATCCCCCTGCAGTGAATGGGGACCCTATGGCTGTGTATGTGTGCATTGTGTTGTTGTACAGAGACCAGCCTGATTTTTGTTGCTTTTTGCACCCAGAAGCAAAGATATAAAGGAACTGTGCAGTGAGGGACAGCCATGCCAGGCAGTGGTGCATGCCTGCTTCACCTCCAGCAGCTGCGGGCAGTTCTGCAGCAGAGAAATGTTTAATTTTCTAGAAATGTAATGGAAACATCCACTTGTTTGAGTGTTGGATGTTTGTATGGGGAGAGGCTTCCCTTGGATGCTGGTATTAAGATAATGATGTGACCACACAGGAGTACAAAGTCCCTCTGGCCATTTCTCTCCTCTCTCCAGTTCTTGGTGCCTTTTATACCCCCCTGCTCTTTGGGCTCTGCACCAATTCATGCTTAACCTCACTCGCTTTGCTGCCCTCCAGCTCCCTGCCGATGTGTTTGGTGCTTTCATTCAGACCAGGCTTAAAATCATTCATGAGAAAGTCTGTCTGCATGCAGGGATGGGCTCTCCCCTGTGGTGTGCTGCACTGCTCCGGCTTTAAGCCCCTCTAAGTCCATTAAGCATCGTGGTACCATGGGCTGACAGCCTGCCCTGCTGCCTGTGCTTCCTGCTGTCCCCTCTTTGCTTTCTGCTGGGGTGGGATTGTGGCTGTTGTTCTGCTGGGATTTGCTAAGAGGTCTCTCTGGAGCCAATCTGCCAAGTCCTTGATGTCTCTTGCCAGTTAGCACAGAAGGAAGCAGCTGCTCAGCCCTCGACATACATTGTGTGTTGTTCTGTGCACTGGATTCCCTTTGGGCTGCAGTGATTGTTTGTAGCATCTTTGCTGCTGCTGTGAAGAACAATTAAGAGCTGTGCTGCTTTCCCTGAGGTTGTGCA